CTCTCTCTCTCTCTCTCTCTCTCTCTCTGTTACTTGAGATTAATTAAGATATGAATTATGTATCAATTGATTCATTGATCAATGATTTACTGGTTTAATGAGCCATTTATTGATTGTTTTATATCGAGTTAATTAAAGGCAGTAATCATTATATTTAATGCATTATTCATATAGAAGTCGTTTTTATAACACATTTAAATACCAGTTTATAATAATAGCCTTTAATTAATGTGTTTTAAACCAATTTATATTTCACTCTTCATCTCGGAGTCTATTTATTGACACAAATCTCAAAACAGACTTTATTTCAACTCAAAAAACAAAACCAAACACATTTAACCTCTAAATGAATGGCATTTGAAAATGCATTAACTGTTTAAATGGCTTCAAAACAAACAAAATAATTGTTAAACAAATGAACATTTAGTTCATTAAAATATGAACGACATTAAGATTGAAACTAAATGCATATTAACCGCAGGTCTGCGAGAAAGTGAAGCTCAAGGGTTCGACCACTTATAACGAAGTGGCGGACGAATTGGTGGCGGAGTTCAGTAGCGATCCGATCGCCTCGCGGGCGGCCTTTCAGGGCGGGTATATGCCCGGAGATCAGGAGCCCTTCGACCAGAAGAACATCCGGCGCCGAGTCTATGACGCCCTCAACGTATTGATGGCAATGAATATCATATCCAAAGAGAAGAAAGAGATTAAATGGATAGGACTGCCGACGAACGCGGCTCAGGAGTGCTCCGAACTGGAGTCCGAACGGGAGAAGCGTTTGGAACGGATTAACGTGAAGAAGCAACAGCTCCGGGATCTGCTCCTACAGCAGATCGCGTTCAAGCAGTTGGTCGAGAGGAATAAGACGATGGGTTCAGTGCCGGCCACTAATGCACTCATATCTCTGCCGTTCATTATTGTGAACACCGAGAAGAAGACTGTAATCGATTGCAGTATATCTAACGACAAGACGGAGTATTTGTTCAATTTTGACAACACTTTTGAGATCCACGACGACATCGAAGTACTGAAACGCATGGGTTTGGCCTTTCATTTGGAGAAGTTAGAGGACGGCCAGACTCTGGACCGCCAGGCGCTCGATAGGGCTAAACTCATTCTCCCCGAAGCCCTGCGCCCGGAGTTGGAGGAAATGGTTGACGAGAAAGACATAAAAGTATTGCCGGTCAGTCCCAGAAAGTCTAGAATTCATTGAATACTAAATACCATTCAATACCTGACATAATATTCAATGATTTTTAGTTTTAAAACCCAAATATTTTTCTAATTTCTGGACACAAATTAGTGATTTAATTAGACATTCAATTAATATTATTATCTATTAATTATTTAATTAATTAATGAGTCGATTGAGAGCACAATTTTTTGAATACATTTTTAAAATTAAATAATAATTCGTTTTTTAATTATCAATGAATTTTGAATTTTTTGTTTGTTTTTATTTTTTGTGTCAATTTTTATATATGAAAGAAGTAATCATTTATAAGACAATTAAATCTCAATTTATATATAATTATTATTATATTTTGAAACAGCAATTCATTTTCCACACAAACAGAATCCGATCACTAATTTTGCAATTTTTATTACATTATTATTATTAGTCATTAAAATATTGATGTTTTCCTCACATTCTTATCGTTTTTAAACCCCTTTTCCTCACAATTGAAGACATTTATGATTTTCTATCATTAATTTGTGTTTTTTGGGGACAATTAATACAGTGATTGATTGACTGCCAGACAATACTATACCGACGGCTGTAATTGTATTGAGACATTCAAAGACATTTTGAAATGACTTTCACGACAAACAGACAACTCATGTGAAAAATACATATTTAAAGATTTGTTACCATTTCTATGATAAACGCATTTTTAAATATATTTTAACTTTATTTTGTAAATTTGCGAATCAAAACACATAACAGCAAAACCATTAATTGTTAATTTTAATGAATAATTTTTAATTATTATAATTATATTTTAAAATGTCATTCAAAACAACAAATGACAAAACACTAGAATATAATGATAAGAGTTTTAGACCATAATATAAGACATCAATTTATAAACTCATTATAAATATAAATGTATTTAAGATTATTATTATTAATAAAAAGAAGTTTTTATTTACTAAAAAAATTTTGTTCATTTTATTTGATATCACAAAAGAAGTAAACATTTTTTTAGTATTTGGTTATTGCAATTGATTTGAAAATAATGCCTATTCTGTTGGCTTAAGTTTGAAAGAATTTAATCAATTTTGAGACTTTAATGCCATTAACGGCAGTTATACAGTGTATATGAGATTCAATGAACTCTTTTTTGTCACTTATTTTATTTAATTTATATTTCAATCGTATCTCGAAGTTGAGCCCAAAATGCATCCAAACAGTAATGCAAACAGTATTTTGAGCCAAATGTTTGACTTTAAAATTGATGTTAACTTTATTTTTCTTATCAAAGGGTCAGATATTGTTCCCCAAAATAAATAATTTCTTTTTAAAAGTACTTCTTTTCAATTTTGAAAGCAATGTTTTTTAGTTTTAATATAAATAGTGTTTGTGTTTAATATATGAAGTGAAATGTTTTCCATACATGTATTATCAGAACATTTATTTTGCTGTTCCGTTAACACAGTTTTCAAGGCTTTCATAAAAACAAGATTTTTAAAATTCATACGAGAGATGGGAAGTCCAATGGGGTGTCCAATAGGATGTCCAACTCCTCACCAGATTTGGCTAATTGAACACTATTTTAATGCTCTTTAGTATTAATTCATTCAATTTGTTCATTCAATTATAATTACAGTCATTTAATATTGAATATTAAATGCAATTTCTATAGACATTCAAATGTAATGAATTGAAGAATTATCTTTTATCACGTGTATATTGAACTTTATTTTTAATCATTTTATAATGTATGTGCTTAATACATCTTTGTAAATAACAATTATGAATTATATGATGATTATTATATTTTATATGGAATTAACTATCTCTATATAAGATTATGGCAGTAATAGGCTATTACTATTATCATTACATACCTTGTTTGTTTATTATTGCCCGAATGTAACTGCTTTAGACAATTCTTAGATAATTATTATAACATGTGAATAGTATTCATCCCCCTCTAGCGGCTTCAATAATGGGGTTTATTATAAATAATATTCACATTCTGTGTTTTGTGAAGTATAATAATAATTGTTCAAAACATTAGTGTATGTATAGAGAGGGCGGACACTGTATTTCGATAGTGAAGAGAGTGAGCAATGAATATAATTTTCATTTTATGCTTTTTAGCAAATTTATAAAATTAGAAAAAAAATTGTGCGAATAAAAACATTTTTAGAGAAATGTAATTCATTTATTTTATAATAAAAATGTGAATTTAGTTATAGTCTGTTTAGTTTTTGTTGTTTGTTATGAAAAGTAATTAATTCATATTCTGAAGTAAATCTGATTCAAAATAAAATTTGTCGTATTTTAACAGATTTT